TTGAAAACTAATGTAAAATACTTCAAAACTTTTGGGAGTAAGTGTTACATTTTCAAAGATAGAGAGCCTTTGGGCAAATTTGACTCCCGAAGTGATGAAGGTATTTTTCTAGGGTATTCAACCACTAGTAGGGCTTTTCGAGTCTATAACCTACGAACTTCTTCTTTAAAGGAATCAATCAATGTGGTTATAGATGACACAGGTTCTCCTACTCCAGCAACAAATGAGGATGAAAATGGTGAGTCTCCAATCTTGGATACTAAACCACAAAGTCAAAGAGAAGCTGAGGTCCAATCACAAGAAATTGAGACAGCACCATCCTCACAGGTAAGTCAGAGTCCAAAGAGTGCTCAGAAAGACACCACTACTGTTGCTTCTGTCACTGCAAGTCCAGAGTTCAAACCATCAGCAAGGGTGAAACTGAATCATCCAGCTCAACAGGTGATTGGAAGTGTATCGGATCGAATGAAAACCCGAAGACAGATTCGGGATAAGGTATCTCATATGTGTTATGTTTCATTAATTGGACCTAAGAATATTAAAGAGGCCTTACTAGATGATAGTTAGGTTAATGCTATGCATGAAGAATTAGGTCAATTTGAACGTAACAATGTTTGGACTCTAGTTCCTAGACCTAGAGACATGAATGTGATAGGTACCAAGTGGATCTTTAAAAATAAATCTGATGAGAATGGTACTGTGGTTAAAGCCAGGTTGGTTGCTCAAGGCTACACACAAGTAGAGGGTGTTGACTATGATGAGACGTTTGCCCCAGTTGCACGTCTCGAATCTATTCGAATTTTACTTGGTGTTGCTTGCTTTCTTGGTTTTAAATTGTTTCAAATGGATGTGAAAAGTGCCTTTCTGAATGGGTACTTGAAAGAAGAGGCTTATGTTGAGCAACCAAAAGGGTTTGAGGACCCTAAATGTCCAAACCATGTCTACAAGTTAGACAAGGCTTTGTATGAGTTGAAACAAGCCCCTCGGGCTTGGTATGATAGACTTACTACCTTCCTTCTTGATAATGACTTTCAAAGGGGTAGTGTGGATAAGACTCTATTTGTGAAACATACTAAGTCTCATATTCTTGTTGCTCAGATTTATGTTGATGATATTGTGTTTGGATCCACTGCTGATCATCTTGTGAAATATTTTTCGGATTGCATGACACATGAGTTTGAGATGAGCATGATGGGAGAGTTGTCTTATTTCTTGGGTCTTCAAATTAAACAGTCTCCTTCGGGTATGTTTGTGTCTCAGACTACGTATGCTAAAAATCTTGTGTCAAAGTTTGGTCTTGAGTCTGCCAAACATGCACACACTCCCATGAGCACCAGTCTTCACCTTTCCAAAGATTCCTCTGGTATTGATGTTGATCCTACCCTTTATAGGAGTATGATAGGAAGTCTTCTTTACCTCACAGCCAGTCGTCCTGATATTGCGTTCAGTATAGGTGTTTGTGCCCGTTACCAAGCCAATCCTAAAGAGTCTCATCTTCTTGCGGTCAAACGCATCATTAAATATGTTAATGGGACATTGGGGCATGGGGTTTGGTTTTCTATTGATACTACAGCTGAAATTACTAGTTTTTCTGATGCTGATTGGGCAGGGTGTGCTGATGATAGGAAGAGTACATCCGGGGGGTGTTTTTACCTTGGAAATAATTTGGTTTCCTGGTATAGTAAAAAGCAAAATGCCATCTCTCTTTCGACTGCAGAGGCTAAGTACATTACTGCAGGGAGTTGTTGTGCACAAATGTTGTGGATGAAGCAAATACTTCATGATTTTGGGATAGATCAGAGCACTCTCACTCTTTTCTGTGATAATACAAGTACCATAAACATTTCAAAAAACCATGTCCAACACTCTCGCACCAAACACATTGACATTCGTCATCATTTTATTCGAGAGTTAGTGGAAGAAGGCCTTGTTGTGCTTGAACATGTACCCACTGAGCATCAAAAAGCTGATATTTTACAAAACCCCTTGATCTTCTTCGGTTTGAGTTTCTTAGAAAGACCTTGGGTGTCGTGCTTAGTCACTAGGGTGTTACCTGTTACTTGAAAGGGAGTGAGTGATTGTTTTTTGTGTGCTTGGATGTTATAATCTCATAGTCATTGATTCCTGTTATCTTTGCATTAAAAGTTTATATGAATACTGCTCATACTGCTTACAAGATCTCATTCTTCTTTGTTCATAGCTCATTCTAAATGCCCATACTCATTGACTTCATGATCTCATTCTGTACACATCCTTGAGATAAACTATTGCAGGGTTTCCGCACAAGTGATCAAAGTTCTTTATGGACCACTAACAGTGTTTCTTGTACTTTTTCAGGGGAATTGACCTATACTAGTATATCATGGGTGATGTTGAGTCTCTTAACCATCTACCATCATTTATTCACTTCCATAGTTTCTCCCTTAGTTCATTGAAGTCCAGGTATTAGGAAAAGGCTACCTCAGAGGCACCAACTAGGCCATTCTTTTTTATTTCATCCTTCTCTGGTTTGGTCTCCATACTCTTGAGCGTGTATGCCACTAGTGAGTGCCCACAAGAAAGAAAAGTTGAGAAAAAAAAAAAAGGAATCATTGATTGAAGAGGAACCTTCACGTTTACTCAACAAATACCCCATGATCCCTAGTGGTTTGACTTTTCTCTGTGATGTTCAGTTACTCTTGCTAGAGGTCCAGCCATCCAATCACTACGAGGATTAACTCTAGTTCTGTGGCCTCTCATGGATTGCACACACACACATTATTTTTGTGAGCTCTCATGTTGGTTTCTAAGTTGCACATTCTCATGTAACTTATGTTCATTGTTTTGAGTTTATCTGACTTGTTCATGATTATTTGCTTCATCTTGTCAAAATTGCAAGTTAGCGGGCTTCATGGTTTGTAGATTATTTCATCTTAGTATCATCTTCATGCTCTTGTGCTCACTCACTTGTGTTTCAGGCTTCACGACATAGTGTGAGTATTGGTTTTTTGTTTAAAAAAAAAAGTTTTTTTTTGTGTTTTTTTTTTTTTCTTCTTCGCTCGAGCGAAGGATTACTCGCTCGAGCTTGCTTTTGCTGTTGAGTTAGACCTGAGAGCGTGCATTTTTGGCTCGAGCGACAAGTTCTTGGCACTACAACAAAAAAGGTCTATGGTGACGAAAACGCATGACGAAAAAATATTTCGTCTCCAAATATACATGTTTTAGTGATGAAAATAAGATTTTGCCTCTAATTGTACTATTTTTAGAGATGAAAACCAAATTTCGTCACCAAATGCTTAAAATCAAATAAAAAAATTGGTGAGAAAAAATTTATTCGTCTCTAAATTTTGTTTTTCGTCACAAAACAGTTTCTCACCCAGGAAAAATTTGGCAGAAGATTTGGCGCCATTTTGGAGACGAAATTTTTCGTCACCATTGTAAAACAATTTTAGAGAGGAAACAATTTCATCTCCAAATGTATTATTTTTAGAGAGGAAAACCTAATTTCGTCACCAAATGCTTAAAATCAATAAAAAATAAAATTGAACCAAGAGATAGATATTTTTCTGTTTAGATGCATGTATTTTACTTTCTATATCTCTCTTTGTCACCCTCTCACCCATTTATCACCGTCACACCGTCCGTCCATCTATGTCGTACCGGCTAACTCGCACGTCGCCGGCTGGCGCTCGCTACAAAAGGTATCTCTCTCTCTCTCTCTCTCTCTCCTTTCCTATTTTCCCCTCACTCTCTCTCGCCCTACTATTTTCTCGCTTTTCTGAGCTCCGTCACCCCTCTTCTCACTTTTCCAACCTCCGTCACCCCGCTTCTCTATCTTGCTATCCTCCTTTTCGTCTCACTTTCGTAACACATTTTTTATCCTAATTTCACTATAAGAAAAAACACTTTTGGCGACCACCATTTTTGAGTTGGTCGTAGATAGTTGACTTTTTGCGACTAACATTTTTTTGGTCACTAATGAGTTGTGTTTTTTGCGACCAACGACATTTTGGTAGCTAATAGGTAATTTTTTGGGACCAAAAAAAAATTATGATCATGGAAAGTAATAGCGGGAGAGGGGAAAAAAAAACGGGATCTCAAAACCTTTGGTGACTAATAAATTGTGTTCATAGAAAGGAAAATGCCATATTTTGTATCAAAACTACGTAGTTTTGAATGTTTCCTAATATTAATTAAATTTGTTACGATTTAAAATAACTATTAATAATCAGTTCAAAAAAAAATATTAATAATTAAATAATAAATTATTAAGAACATAATAATAATTATTTTTTAATAGAATTATTATTTACTGATTAAAATCATAAAATTTCTTAAATTTATTTATTTTCATTCAAAATATTAATTAAACCTTAATAAAGGTAAAATTACAAACATAAATAATAAAACTTAAAAAAATATAAATTAAAATCAATTTTTACTACAAAATTTTGCCTCAAATTTTTTCTCAATATTTGAAAAAAGCCTTTCAAAATTTTGCCACAATTAAAATTTCCTCATAAAATTTTGTCTAAATTTCTACTCCCTGGTCCCAAAAAAAAGAAAAAGGGAAAAATAGAGAAAGACTAACGGAGATGTGTTCGAGAGAGAGAGAGAGAGAGAGAGAGAGAAGAGGAAGAAGAGATGGAGGGAAAAGAGACCATGAAGAGAGACGGAGGGAAGAGTAGTCCTTCGGAGTAACAGCCATTGTTTCACTCATGACGGCCATTGCGTTGCTCGAGCAGTCCTTCGGAGCTACCTCCTTCGCAGCCTGGTTCGTCTTCGCTTCTCCCTCCGATCGACGAAGACCCGCGAACGAAGCAAACGGAGCCGTCTCACCTCTCCCCCCGACCGAAGCTCTCACACCTGTCCCTCCCACCGTCCAATTTTAGGTGCATGTTTAGATACTAGGGTTTTGAGTTTTGATTTGAGGCTTTTCAATTTGAAAATTAGAGCTTAGGGTTTTTCAATTTCAAAATTTGGGCCTTTTTAATTTGGGGTTAGTGTTTAACTTGGCTGCTTGTTATGAATGTTTAAATGGGAAGACAAAAAAATTCCTGTTATGAGGGATTTCATTTTTGAATGAAAAAGTAGATACTCCGATTTCTGTAAATTTGTGTTTGGTATAGAAAGAAAAATAAATGAAAATTTCAAAATTCCTAAGCCTCTATGATTTGAAGAGTAGCTTCGTCCAATTCGATTGGTCGTTGTTTGATATCATTTGTCTCTTCATCCCTAACTCAACTGTCCCTTTTCTTGCTTCCTTCCTTCTTCCCTTCCTTCTCTGTCCTCTCTCTCTTCTCTCACTCTCAGGTCCTCTCTCTCTCTCTCTCTCTCTCTCTCTTTCTATATATATATATATATGAATATGTGGTTAAAGTGGTTTCTTTTGTTGCAGCTGTAGCACTGTTGGGAGTGACAGGTGTTGGGAGATGCTGCAAGAGACTTGTAGGAGTGGGAGAATCAGCGCCGGCTTTCGTTTTCTTCAATATTATATTCATTTGGGGCGTTTATATTGGATTGGTTCGACAAGGTCCCTCTTTCTTCTCAGTAATCTCTCTCTCTCTAGTCTCTAATTTGTATCCTCAATATGATTCACTGTTTGATTATTCTACGAATTTTAAAGTCTGGGTTCTGCATGCAATGGGATTCGAGTGGTGGGTTTTTTCAACAGTCGGAGATGGTTTATTTATTCATCATATACATGGTGTTTTTAAGGAATTTTTGGGTGTAGATGCCACGTGTAGCTTCTACTATTTTGAATTTGACAGTAGGGTCATTACATTTATGTTGGATGTTTGAGGAAAAATGAAGGTGTATACATTTGTGATTGATTGATAAAAGGTAGTGCTACGTGTACCCTATTAACATATAAAAATTTCTCAGTGTTTTCTGTTTGTTTGTTCATTTCTCTGTAAAGGAGTGAGTAATATATTTTTTCCAACCAGATAATAAATTATGTGAGAATGCTCAAATTTTAGTTGGATAGGGATGGATTATTGGTTTCTCATCATCGATATGTATCTACTTTTTCCAAATTTTGACTTGTATGGAACCCCGACATCCTTAAAAAAATTATCTTTTTTTCAGTCATTTCGCCTTTGCTAGACATTATACTCAATGCAGAGTTCTCTATGCTCGTGATTGGTCTATGCAGGTTAGATTATTGTTTCTACACTCAAAAATTGATTGAATTGATTTGTTCGTACAAAATCTAGATTTAAGGTTTGAAAGAATGAAATTTCAATCATTTATTCATTATCCTAACTGTGTGTTTCTTGGTGCCAGTATCCTGACAACAGACCCTGGTTATGTTACAAATGAATCTTCCCATCATAACCAGCTTGTTGAGAGTCCTGTCTCAGTATTTGAAGCCCATTCTGAGGTTGAAAAATGTTGAGAAGCCCCTCCAATTAGATATGAATCATATGATTAACACAAATATTGAAATTATCTTCTGGAGCAAGAACTGGTGCCTTCAACTCGTGACATTCCCTATGAGTTTGTTGCTGAAAAAGTAAGCTGATTCCGGTGATTTCATCGGTTACAGCATTAAATACCACTGAGTTTTGCGATCACATTTAATTTATCCTTTGAATTTTAGTTTTCAAAATTGGCTTTGGTAGCTTTGCTAGTTTTGTTTCATGTTTTTCTTCTCAAATATTATCTTGATTTAATACATACTAGGTAGTTGTAGACACCCCATTTTTGACCGTCCTCAAGACTTGGACGTCACCGTTTGAACACTCGGTGATCATCCATGATTGTGTTCGTTTGGAGTTCCCGGAGGTCTCGGCTCGCGCGCCCTACCTCAGGATCTCCGAACTTGACCGTGTGGTGTCCGGTTTTACACCGAACACTTTTGTTTTGCCTTAGAAGGGCAGGGAATGTCTTGTGAGACACCCCCATACACCACCGGCAGTGGCTGGAGGCCACCGGCCGGTCTTTTTCTTCCATCGGCACTTTTGTTTGCCGGTCGGCACACTTTATTGCCGGTCGGCATAATATGATGCCGGTCGGCACTTTTTTTGCCAAAATAGCTTTTTTGGGCAGCCGACCACTGTTCCTCCACTTTATGGAGATATTTTGTGCCAGCTGTGATAGCTGGCACCAACTCCTTTCCCCTCCATACACGTGTATGGAGGACGAAAAGATGTGCAGAAAAGTAGAGAGGTGATGTGATGTGATGGAAAAAAGATAAAAAGATTGATTATTTGGGACTTCCCAAACTTAGCCTTATTCTATTTTTTGTTATTTCAAAATATTAATCTGTTTTTAAAAATTAATGACTAAAATAACATAAATTTTCCATTTTGTCCTTTTTTTTAAATTCATTAATTATGACAATTGATATTTCCAAAAACAAAGTCAAGGGTAGTTTTGGAAATTTGATACTTCTGAAGTGTAATAATTATACTACCAAAAAAAAATTAGATTCCAAAAAATAGACTAATATTTTAAGACGGATGGAATAATTTTTTTAATAATTGAGCAAACAAAGTTTGAATTTTCTAGAATGCATATTTAGGCCTAGTTTGGAAAGACTAAATAAGTGTACTTTTTGATTTTTTTTGTATTATGTGTAGAAAAAGTAGAGAGGAGATGGAGATAGAAAACTTAACATTTTCTTCGTCTTAGGAGCCTGCTTATATCCTTTGCTCTTCATTTCCTTGTCCACTCCGGGCTGTCACATTGGCCAAAAGTCTGTGTTCTAGCTTGCCTTGTTCATGGTGAGGCTGTTCTGTCCTGACGTGAAGGGTTATCGTAATAAATGCTGCAGGAAAGCTCATTAATAGCTGATGTGTGGTGCAATTACTCTACAGGATCTTTATCTGCTGATGTGGCTCGCTCTTTACTTGCCAAGTGTTTAAATGCCATTGGTGCTTAGTGTAACGTTGGGTCTTAGGGATGTTGGGCTTTAGTATTTGAATCATGGATTGGGCCTTAAGTGGTGGGCCATATCCTTTATGGGCTTACCCATGTCAGTAGTCCCCATTCCCA